AGAATAAATGATAGCCCCCATCCCAAAGAGCTCAACCCCAAAAGATGAGTTCTCTGCATCACGCAGGTTATTGGCAGAGCCGACAATAGAACAGGCAAATCTTTATTCCAATACCACCCAAGACTTCCTTTTCTCAGTGTATTTCCTCCAAAGAATGGCTGGCAGCAGCTCAGTGTGGTTACTTCTTTTTATCCCATACCTATAGTAATGTGTAAAACAGCTGCCCAGGGGTTAAGGCAGTGGGGAAATCAGAAACTATGAGCCAATTATATTTTATTCATATGACGGACATATGCTTACTACTGTGTTCAAAGCTGTAATCATTCTGCTATGACTCCATTTTTGTCTAGCACTATAGATATACTGTTTTACAGTGGCACAGAAAATGTTCCTGCCTCAAGTACATTACAGTCTAAGGTTCCAATATATTACACGTACATAGGATAGTTATTGGTTTGAATGGGACTATCCATAGGAGTAATTTGCAGGGTAAGAGGGTGATATGTCATGGTAGAGTAGGGCTATGTCTACATTACAGAGAGTACACACCTCAAGCATGTTTTTGTGCAAAAAAATTGAAAGAGCAGAGGCGTTTTTGCGGTATAGGTATTCCTCTTTCTACAAGGAATAACTCCTTTTTGCTCAAGAGCTCTTGCACAAAAAGGTGTATGTGGCTAGGAAACAGGGTTTTTTTGAGCAAAAAGAGGCAATCAAAAAAGCACAGGTGCCCTGGTGGCCATTCTGTAAATAGCAATCAGAATTTCCTTCTGAGAGAGCATCCATGCAGTCTGGATGCTCTCTTTTGCTAAAGCACATCGTTTTTTCAATGTGTTTTTGCAGTGTGGATGCTCTCTTGCGCAAGAAGTGTTTGCAGAAGATATCTTCTGATAAAGCTTCTTGCGCAAGAAGCCTGAAGCCTCGGAGCTGAAAACAGGAGAGGAGAGAGAGTAATAAACAAGGGGAAGGAAATGCCACTCAGAGGGGTGATGTTGGATTTGTGGATCATTTTAGATCAGCATTTCTCTTAGCTTCCCAGGTGGTACTGCTTAAATAAACTAGTACTTAGATACTATCCTGAATATTTGAAAAGCTTTAATTTAAGATCAGACTGTGATAAAGAGCAAGGTACTGCTCAGTGTGAGAAATCAATGGGAAGAAGGCTGTGAGATATTTAACACAGCAAGGCAGTAAGTTATCCAATGAACATTTCTAGTCATTATTTCTATGTGACCATGTTTTGATTATGCTATATACTTACCCTGATTTTCCTTTGGGTTTATTTATTTTTCCCCTTTCCTTAAGCTTCTAAGTGTAGTAATAGTTCACATAAACACAGCAATCTCTCTGCAGAAGCCCTATGATTTTTAATGTTTGTTTATGTAAACTTCATGTGCCAGGAGAGGAGCAGTGATATGAAGTGACTTCAAAGCACAATTGGTTGCTGGATCCACAAAGGCTTGTATTTTAACTTGGTAACTAGCTTAGCTCACCAGAATGTTCATTTCACAGCCTGGGCTGCTGCTTTGGTGGATTGAGTTATATTCCCAGCTCAGTTCAAATATAGAAAATATGTAACTCAAGTATGTATCTGGAAAGAAATTTTGCCTTATATCTCTCTCAAGGAAACTATACTCTTTGTGGCTTAGAAATGCATCATGAAAATACATTGTACATGTAGCCAGTCTATGAACAGTCATGCTTGCACTACTGTTACCCTATCCTGTTTCACTCCTACTCACTCAACCAACTCTTACGTTTTGTTTTAAACTCAGACTGCAAGTTCTTTGGGATGGGAGTCTTACAGTAAATCTATACATTGCCTAGCACAATGGGACTCTGTGGCTGGGATTTGTAAGCTACTATAATACAAGTTGCAATAGGTTATTCATTTTGTATTAAGAATTACCTCTTCACCATAAAGGCCTCAAACATAACGCTATAACACAGTCGTTTACAGAATTCAAACTGACAAGTCCACATCATGCATTAAGTGTTAACAATGTATTGCATTTGACATAAAATCCTTGTTCATTTTCTGATGATGATAGTAGTGGATTTCCTGAAACTAGGTCAAGGTTAAAAGCCAAACTACTTGAGTGAAATAGCAGTCTCTTATATAAAAAAATTCAGTCAAGTCAGTGGAGTGTCACCTGCTAACTATATATCTGAATCAGAGTCAGGGCCTCTTATCTTCAAAAATGGATGACAGATTTGTGGGCTGAATCTGCAGTCTTCTCTCAAGCAAGGCTCCCATTGACTTCCAGAGGTATTTTGCCCTAAAAAGGCTAGCTGGCCTCTAATAGTTCTTTGGAGAAGCATATAAGGCTTTGACTATTAGGAGCCATTCAGTGCTATAAACTGAGATAGGTTTTCATTTAATCTTGCTTCTGATGCTTCCAGGTAAGTTGAACATAGGAGGAACATAGAAAGTGGGTTTCTAGAAAATGGTACACAAAAAAACTGAAATAAGAGCTCCAGTATCAGAGTCTAATGCTTTGAGGCAGATTATGACATTTGGGGAGGTAAAACACAATCAATTTTTGTCAATATGTAGTAATAAATGCAGATTTCTGCTGTTTACCTATATGCTTTGTTCTCATAATATAGACAGCAAGTAGTAGAATTCTATCATTTTGTATCACTAACACTCAATTAATGTTCAATAATGTGGCTGAACACCTAAGGACAAATTCCCTTCAAACCCATACATCATCATTTGTCTTTATAACCAGTGGAGGATGCACAAGCACAGAAAAAGGATGGGAAGGGAAACACACCCTGGTCCAGTAAAATGAGTAATTTCCTCTTTCTTACTAACTTTTGAACAGTGTTCTAAGGCAGAACGGCAAATACACACAAATACAAAATGCAAATATAGATGGAAACTGAAATCAATGCAGTTGAATATACCACTGTTTAAATACCATCAAGCTGATGTGGTCTTTTTAGATATAAAAAGATTCAAATGCATGCATGTGTACATGGGCAAATCACTGCAGCCTCTGCTGTAACTTCAAGACTGCAGTACCATCCACCATCTGCATAGGCTTCTGTAATAATATCCCCCTGAGCACTGAAACTGAAATAATTCTGCTACTGGAAGGGGACTCCTGATCTTGGAAAAATAAGCAGAATTGGCTTCTCAGTGCTTCTGTCATCTGAAGAAGTGGGTTGTGCCCATGAAAGCTCATGATACCATCTACATGTTTTGTTAGTCTTTAAGGTGCTACTAGACCATTTGTTGTTTTTTAAGTTTTTCCTGTTACAGACTAACTCGGCTACCCCCTGAAGCTTTTAAATTTCCTGTCTTTGGTGCTTTGGCATCATCTCACAGCATTTCAGGGGCACATATCAATAGCATAATAATGCAATGCCTGTTGCAGCTTATTTCTATAATGCGATTTCCTTTTTATTTGCTTGGTGTGGCTAACAGGAGAGTTTACATAAGGCTCTTTGATGCTCAGTGGAGAAGTTTGCTTACATACCGTCTCCATGTTTTGTTAGTCTATAAAGTGCTACCAGACCATTTGCTATTTTTTTACTCACTGGAAAGGCAGTCTAGAGTCACCTTCAATAGTTAAAAAAAAACAATAAAAAACAAACAAACAAAATACAGCAATCCACGTCTCCTGCTCTTGCCCTGACCCCTGCCACTATAATTGCAAGTGGGCTAGATCCCTTATGTATCTTTGTGAGCATTTCCAGTGCCTCAAAACATAGTTTATTGATATTGGACATGATGTGCCTGATTCCCCATAGCTTCTTACTTTGCAGAATCATTTATTCCATACAGAATATAAGAACATAAGAGCGACCATATTGTGGGAATAAGTAAATAACTTTTCCTTATTCACTTTTTCCACACCAGTCATAATTTTATAGACCTCTATCATATCCCTCTTTAGTCTCCTCTTTTTTATGTTGAAAAATCCAAGTCTTTTTAATCCCTCTTCATTTGGGACCTGTTCCAAACAGTTCATCATTTTTGTTGTCCTTTTCTGAACCTTTTCCAATGCCAATATATCTTTTTTGAAATAAGGCAACCACATCTGTACAGTATTCAAGATGTGGGCACACCATTGTTTCATACAGAGACAATAAGATATTTTCTGTCTTAATCTCTATCCCTTTGTTAATGACTCCTAACATTCTATTTGCTTTTTTTGACTGCTGCTGCACACTGAGTGGATGTTTTCAGAGAACTATCCACAATGACTCCAAGATCTCTCTGTTGAGTAGTTGTAGCCAAATTAGTCCCCATCATAGTGTATGTATGAGGATAAAAATCTTACCACTCACTTGGCACAGGGATAAACATCTCACAGGATGCAAGGTGACAGAGAACAAATGCTCATACTTTGCAATCTGGGGGACACTCACTTTTCTTATTTAATCTTCTAAAAGTATTCTATTTGCATATCTGATCAAAGACTAATATTTTTCAAGCCTACCTAATATACAAAACCCATCATTGTATAAAAAAGACTTTTTAAATTATATGAAGATCACTTACTTCCGTGCAATTTATCAATAATAATAGCATTAATTGAAATGTTTTAGAGGTTGTTTTTAACTTACATATATATTGCTGGTTTATTTTAAAGTTGATTTAATGCTATATCTATTCTTCTGCTGTTCAGTACAAATCCTAATACTAATACTGTTAAAAAGCAATACTTCTCTTTGGAACCACTCCCTTTTCCCCTAGCAGTTGCTGTAAATCAATATAGCTCTGCGGAGATCATTAGACTCCACAAACATACACACATTGAGGATCCTGGTCTCTGACCCATCTTCTCTTATAAGTATCAGAGAGGTAGTAGCCATGTGAGTCTGAATCTGCAAGATCAATGAGAAGTCCTATGGCACCTTATGGACTAACAGATTTATTGGAGCATAAGCTTTCGTGGGCAAAGACCCACTTCATCAGATGCAACAGTTTGCATCTGATGAAGTGGGTCTTTGCCCACGAAAGCTTATGCTCCAATAAATCTGTTAGTCCATAAGGTGCCATAGGACTTCTCATTGATCTTGCAGATTCAGACTCACATGGCTACTACCTCTCTTTATACTTTCTTATAAACTTAAAAGCCAACTTTCATGAATAATCTGCTGTCCGAACTCTTCAATATGTTATGTTGTCGGACTAGATTGAACATTCTCTGATCTTTTACATTAAACTGATTACAGTAATGCTTTTCTCCTTCGCCAACCATCAATACTCATTATTGTAAGAATAAACCATACATTGGTTAAATTGCAGAGGAAAAATCTGTTAATTTAAATACAAATTATACCTGATACTGTACCTTTTCACTGGAATAACTGAGGAGATTGTCATTTAACCCAGATGTACTGAAGCAAGCCTGAGTCAGATTTTGGGCATGATATCTCTAGATTCTGAGCTAGCCTGTATTGAAGTGCATATTAGAAATGGTTCTTAAGCTGATTCAGTACTTTTTATCCATTACTAAGCTTAGCAAACTATTAAGTAACCTGATAACGAAAATATATTTGAAGAGACTTTAAATTAATCTAGTGAACATTGATTTTTACAAGTTCTCTTAAATTATCTGTGAACAATCATACTGTTATATATGGACCATGCATCATCCATGGCTAAATTCTGAGATACTGCATGCTAATTTATATTTGTTTAGTATGTTCTTTTAGTTTAATAACTTACAGTTTTTTATGGTACAATATATTTCAAAAGTTCATGTTAGAACAAACTGGCATCTATGTCTGGCATACTGACAGACATCCTGTTCATCTGATTAAGTGAGTTTTACCCTCAAAAGCTTATTCCCTAATAAAGTTGATTTCCTAATAAGTCCATAGGATTCCTCATTTTTGTAGATACAGACTAACACAGCTATCCCTCTGAGTTTAATTTTTCAGTCACCTAGAGTTTTAGTTCTTCATTTTGAACTTTTTAAAATTTTTCTCAAAGGAGCCTACTGAATTCCTAAGTGGCAAATGGCATGTAGCACAGCTGACTGGCGATACTGAAGAAATATAAAGAGACTGAATTTTGTTTAACCTAGAGAATATATGTTCCAGCATTCCATCAAAAACACTACGTAAAGGAATTGATACTGTAGTGTATTTGCTTTGGAGAAATACAAGATTAAGGATTCCATTCAATAACTCCTTTGAGGTGAAACAAAAGGCAGGAATTTAGGAAGCAGGTAAATCCAATACTGAATGAAATGCAAACAAGTTTAAACTTAAGTCACAATTAGGATTCAGTTCTTCCCCTATCTCAGGCCTTTGCTTACAGTACTTACTACAAAAAACATATTTTCCAACAGTAGCAAAATGCAGTTATATTCTTTTCAAAATAGGCTTTTAAATTGTGTTTAGTTTATTACTAGGTATGTTATCACCAGATCACTGATCATCGGTTTGCATACATAATCTGGCACTATCTGGCACCTAGATTTTAAAGTGGTTCTTCCTTCCCCCTCCTCACGCCCCAAAAAAGACAACAAATCTCACACACATTTTTGTTCTATTGTAACTTTTCGCAGGAGTCCATTCCAGGATCTCTTCCGCTGGGGAAACGGGCAGTTTCGTTTGTAACAACGTTGTATTGTGAGAGTGCTGGCTAGAAAGCACAAGTATGAATTCCTCGTGGTCCCTGAGCTTATCTTACTTGTGGGAAGAGGAAGCTAAACAAGCGATTCACAGGCTGGGACAGAATCCGAATCCTGGCTGTGCATGGAGCTCAGACCCGTGTCCGAGTCCTCGTCGTTCTCATCGCTCTCCTTGCACCCCCTGGCCTGCTCCTCCCAGGCTTCTGAGCTGTTCTCGAGAGACCCCCGCCCAGCCTCGGGTAAGGAGGAGCTGCTGGAAGCGAGAGCATCGGGGCGGAGAGTCTGTGCTGCCGTCTGCGTATCCGCCAAGTCCAAGGCGTTCAGCGTCTCCAGCAGGCGCTGCTGCTCCCGCTCCTTGGCATCCCGGGCGCGTTGCGCGTACGCCAAGTCCGTTCGGGTCGCCTCCAAGTCCGTGCTCAGCCGCAGCCCGACGTAGAGGCTGGTGCTCAGCTGGGTCTTCACGCGCTCCTGCTCCCAGTGGAGCTCGCCCCCGGCGCCGCCGCTCAGCTCCGTGCTGTGACAGTCGAGCTCGGCCGGGTTGGAGCCGCAGCCCTTGGCCGCGGCCAGCTCCTCCCGGCGCCGCTTCATCCAGCGCTCGTTCAGCTCCTCCTGGAGCTCGCCGGCGAGCTGCTCCAGCCGCTCCTCCTGTCGCGCCCGCTGCTCCTGCAGCTGCAGCACCTCCTCGCACCTGCGGGCGTACTCCTCCAGCCGCCCGTCCGCCCCGTCCGCGCCCGGCTCCGGCTTGCCGCTGCTGGCCCCCATCAAGTAGGTGTCCTGCACGTAGTTCGCCCCGTGCCGCTTCATGCGGTCCAGGTGGATCGTGGCCTCGTACCGGTCGATCTCACGGTCCAGCTCCCGCAGCCGCTGGATCTGCTGGCGGATGGTGTGGTCCTGCGACAGCACCAGGTGCACCAAGGTCTCCATCCGCTCCGCAGACGGCGCCTCCGTGGCCAGGGGCTGCTGCCGCTTCTTGTTGAGGTTGGCCAGTTTCCGGAAGGCTTTTCTCACCACCCGCCGCTGCTTCTCCCGCGGGAGCGCCAGCCCGGGCCGGGCCGCGCCGAGCCCGTGGCAGGGGCGCTCCTTGCTCGGCACGACTCTGGCCTCTGCGCTCCGGGGCCCAGTGTTGGGAAGGGAGGCCGCGCTGCGGACCAGCACGAAGCGGACGTTCTCCTGCTCGTCCCCCCAGGCGGCCCAGAGCCGCAGGATCTTGGTCTTGTTGGGCAGGATCCTTTCGAAGCCCCGCCACTTCTCCACGATGCAGTAGGACTCGGGGGGACCCGTGAGCACCCCGCCGCCGGACTCCGGCTGGGCGGGCAGCTGCTGCCGCTGGCTGTCGTCCTCCAGCAGCACCCGCACCACGTCCGAGCAAGTGGTGCGTCTGGAGAGGCCGGAGATCAACTTCTCTTCCTGGCAGAGCCACACCGAGATTTTCCTTTCCTCCGGCTCCATCGGGCTGGGCTGGCCGGGGCTAGCAGGCGGGAAATCCCCCGTAGAAGCCTTCACGGCAAGGTCGGGAGCCAGAGTCCGGCCCGCACCGCCCTGCAGCCCAGGCTGAGCATGGCTGCAGCTGCCTCTTCTCCCCCGGCCTC